CCGCGAGGCTGTGTGCGTCCAGCCGCTCCTACTACGCAAATGCTGTCGGCTCCAAGGCCGTTGGGTTTTCGAGGAGTATGATGTATTCCGAAGTATTCTCTGAAGTAAAGTATTTGTAGCAACTTACAAAAAACCTCCTTTCCCATATCAACAAGATGAGGATCAGGGATGGGCAAAATACATGCAAATATGTATTGAAATACAAATACAAAATACGTCGTCAAAAATGTATTTAATTACAAATCTAATTACATTTCCAAAAAAGCATTTAAGTACAAGATACAAATACAACTAAATGTATTTGGTCTCCTTCAAATACTTTTCCAAATACATTCCTCAAAATTTGCGTCAGCGACTTCAGGGCACCTGCAACGGGTTTCTGGGTATCTCATTTTAATTTTGCATCGCACACTCGGGAGTTAGTGTGCGAGGCTCTAGTAACGTAATAGAAATATAATCACAAAAAAAAAAAAATGTAATCAGCATGGACGTAATAAGTGAAAAAAGTACAGAGCTTCAAGCAGATTTTTTTTGTCGATTACATTTTGGTATAGACCAACAAAGAACCGAGACGACCAAGACGCGCAGCACTAGCTAGAGAATTTTTTTATTGTTGCAACTCGCACCAGTTACGAAAATCTGGACGACCCACGCATTTAGAATGTTCCAGGCAGAAATATGGATAGAAATCAGGCTGGAAAGCATCACAAGTTGTCACGGGCATTCATTTAGCCAGTCTGCATGTGAACGTCGATTTCGTCACTATTCTTACCCTGGACTAGCACCGTATTCACAAAGTCACTAAACGCTTGTGCTTGATTGAGAGACACTGCATTCGGTGCAGAACATAGTTTTCTTCCTGCTCTACACAGTGACAATAAATTTGAGGGATGTATTTTAGCCCACACAATTGTATTTAATTACAATTGTATTTGAAATACCCATGTTTTAGTATTTAAATACACACGTGAAATACATTACCCAATTCGAAATTAAATACAAATGCAAAATACACAAAGTATTTAAAATACGTATTTCAAATAGTTGTATTTGCAATACAGCCCATCCCTGATGAGGATCAATGTTTAATGACGGTAATCAGTGTCAGTGAAACATTACTTTCTGAAGCATAATTTCACTGCAACAAATACTCAATTTCAAAAGGGACCAATTACAATTAGCGGTGTTACTACACACAAAAAAAAGTAATTATTTAAAGCTTTCATTACTATTAGATATCAGTGCAATTACTTTTGGTGCCTAGTTAAAACGAGTAAGCAAAAACGCAATGGCTCATTGGTCGAGGACTCGGTAGGCAGAGTTTTACACTTGTCGTGCTTCCTGTTATTTGTTTTGCGATTTATTAACCATACTATTGGCGGTGATAGGAAGCCAAGTTCTATAATAGTTTGCAACATCACCAAGATGTCTTATACCACTGCGATTCACGGAAGAAGTGAAAGGCAGGGAACACCAGTGCAGTCGTGCATCACTACTGAGATGTTAGCAGTCCGCGAAGCCATTCTAGGGGGTCCGCATCCTCCCACACTGGCTAAATTTCTCATTTACATTGTCGCTTAAAGGGGGGACACTACCCCGAAAAAACAATAGCTGCAAAAAAAAGTTGATTTTGAAGAATGTCATGTTTACATATTCTCAAATGAGGGTCCGCGAAGCTATCCTAGGGGTCCGCGAAGCCATTCTAGGGGTTCGCAAAGCCCTGCCTCATCAGTCAAGCCCGGCAATAAAGGTTGCATTTTTTATTTTTTTTTTTCAAATTAAGAAGAAACGTTTCAATTTTTGTGTAGGTTTTTTTCGTGTGTATGTCAAGAGAGACCTATCTTTTAGTTTTATCCGTTTATTAAATCATTATCGTAATTAACCTATACCTTTCCCATCACCTCACCGCGAACCGGGTCCCCGATCATCACCTCCGCCGATCGACAAGGGCTCCGCGAAGCATCAATGGTTGAGAACCACTAATCTAAAGAGTATTCCCAGAAAGTTTATTAGCTTACACCGCATAGATATTTTTTTTATAAACTATTTTCGGTCCACCAATGTTAAAGGAAAGGTAGAGGTTGGAGCACTTCGCACACATTCTTCTCCATTCCACTTTTTGGCATAAATTTCACTTTAGGAAAACTATCGTTGTGTTATTATGTAACTTGGATTCATTTTTATGAGTTTTTCTGCGGTGAAATTTTAAGGGGAAGATGGCTATGAGTTTGTATTTTTTTTTTTTGTTGTCATTTTTCATACTCGAGAACTAAACTTTTGGACAAAGGATGGAAATCTAAAAAACAGTATTTGTGTTCATGTGGCTTTTTTGTCATGAAGGATGGTATAGTATAGAAATATAGCTTTTAGCTATCTGCTCTGAACTGTCCTAAAGCAATAGAACACATAAAAACGACAAATTTATAAGCGATTTCAAAACGAACGTTTTCCTACACAACATGCCCAGTTTCATTTTTGAACATTTGCATTTTTTTTTTGTACTTCACCCAGGTTAACAAAATAAGCCACAAATGGTCTCAACATCAACAGAAACAAGCCCTATAAGTGTCATTTAAATCAGATAGGTGGTTCAAACATTCACTTATTTGGGTAGTGTCCCCCTTTAATCACAAATGCAAACCGACCCCAGATACTGTCTAAATCACTCGCACCTAATTTGCTTTGCTTTACTCTCCTTTCTGCGATCAAAGGACGGGCTCCAGTGTTACAAAGCCACTCTGAAAGTAGTTGCTATCGTTGCACAGTCTACAATTAACTAAACCACAATTACAATGATACGAGTCAAAAGTGGGCAATAAAAAGTGACCACACAAAGCATGAAGTTACTGCGGTTGAATTACGTGCCACCAGCAACTTGCAGTGACATCTTAAGGGGATAATCTCATACTTTTTTGCTTCATAAAAGTTTGTTAAAAATTTGTCCTAAGTAAGAATGAGATATCATAGTGTGTTCTTGTTCTTTTGGCCAGCGTACCATTTCAAATTCCTGGTCTTTTAAAGATATTGATTAATTCACTCAATCATATGCAATAGAAAATTGGCAACTTGTAGTAAGTACTACGGACCAGTGCACCAAAAAGCAATGCGGTCTTGTGAATACGAAGTAATACGAAGTAAGATGACTTAAGAACACCACAGATATTTCTGGTAATTGCATCACTCATTCACCCGTCTACTGACACTTGAAGCATATAACAGTTAAACTATGTTTTTAGTTGTCAGTAATACATGTGTCCTCCTACATAATTTTTAACTATCGTTGTTGAGTCCAATTAATATTGTATTACTGTATTGTGAAATGATGAGTCAAATGTATTGACATTTGATCCTGCATGGCTATCCTTTTACTAGACTTCTGATTTTCTGGCACACAAAAGAAAGCATAGTTAATTTATTGCACTTGTTTGGCATATGGTACGACTAAGAAATCAATTTGTTCATCCAAAGGCTACATAAGCTCAACCCTTTGCAATCCAACATCTATACCCCTTTGCCCATTTACGGTCAGCCTGAATAACCACGCTAGAGTGCCAACTTTTCGCCAACCGCCTTTCTGCCAAAACCTAACCTCATGTGCCGTGAGAAATCAACAATGCGCCACATTATTTTGAAGGCCCATACATCCAGTTGCACCCGAGAGCGTTTGACTGCGCTGCAACTGCGAGTAACCAGGACATCCGTCCTTCGCATCCCTCGTGCTAAGCTACTCCCTGAATTGGTTGACACGCCTCATACGAAGCGTGGATTGTTCCTGTGACTTTGCAGCGATTTCTCGATGCTATGCTGTCAAACACAACCAAATGTATGGGCCTAGCTATTTACCAAGCTATTTACACCAGCAATGACTCGAAGAACATCATGGCCAGGAACCGCGGAGGTCTTTCCACGTCGAATACGAAAAACCGACAGCCTTACGCCGTATCAAGAGCGAGACTTCAATACGCATTTAAAGACCTTCTATGCAAACTCAACACCAACAAGCAGAAGCGTGCGTTCTAACAGACGTGAAACACTCATGGTCACCGCGGAACTAGGATGGAAGGGGTCCTTCAGTCGTCCAACCTCCAGCATGAGCTTTTTTTTTTTTTTTTTTTTTTTATAACGCTTCGGCATCGTGAAATTTGCGCGTGCACGCACAACTTGAGCATAGTGGAAGCAGCGGGTGCAAGTAGAAGGCGAGGCTTCAGACACGCTCTACCAATCTCATCCTGTCAGTCGCTATACCCTCACCTTGTTTTGGGAACGGCTAAACATACAAGCCAAACAAACACTAACCCCTCACCACCCGAGCGAGAAACAATAAGCAGCGAGCTGGGAAATGGAGGCCCTCGATGTGAAAACTAAAGAATACAGGACCAAGCTCGACTAACTTTAGAAAGCACCGTACGTGCGAGCAATTATTTTAAAATGTGCAGTCTTCTCTACTGGCCAAGCTTTATAATGAAGCCCGACCGCAGCAGTGCACACAACCACTAACGGCTGCAGGGACTGAGGGGATGCCCGGCAACTTTAGATGACCAGCAGCGGAGGACTGGAAACGAAATGGGCTTACCCCTTAATATTTCAAAAAGTATGGAGAATGCAAACGCACACCACGAGGGGATTAAACGTAAAAGCACTCTCATTTCCAACGCAGTTTCTCCAGCAATTACACCCCAAGACGTTCCTGGCCCGCCGAGTCGGCGTCTGGTTCAACTCAAGCGTACGAGACAGCCACGAGATTGCTCATCGAAATGCGTGCCGAAGTACCTTCGATCGGCTCTAGTTCTGCCACCCTTCTCCGCCAGACGCGATAAAACGAAAGAAAAGAAAACGAAGCTGTTTGCTCGGAAAGCGTGCGACAGGGCGGATCTCGAGCATACCGGCGCGCGGCGCGTCAAGGTATGAATACATTTATCCGCAAGAGGAAACGCCAGCGAGGAAAACAAAAACGAAAAAGAAAGCGAGAAAAGTTTGCAAGAGCCACCCCGGCTACTCACCACCACCAGGAGTGAAGAAACCCCGGAGGCTCTCCTAACGTGATGTTCTTCTCCCATCGAATCTGGAAAGAGGAAAACAAAAAAATCAGGTTCACACGTCGAGACGCGTCTGCAAGCGGGGCGACAGCAGGTCTCCCGCACACTGCGCATGGCGTACCGGACGAGATTTTCTCGAGAGGTTGAACATTAACCTAGCCCGTACGCAGTATCTATGTGCGATACACCGCCGTCGGCAGGTGTTGCCTTCTTGGTTGCTCGATGCTGTTGACTGCATCGCTGCGTGATGCGGGCTGGCAGTCGCACTGCACCGGCTGAATTTCCCGTCTACAGCGTAAACCGGTGTCGCCGCACCTCAAGGGCAGACTAACCTTATGTTGTCTACACATAAACAACTACTTAGCTTTTTTTTTTTTTTTTGACTACTTACAGTAAAGAGAACCCACTGGACCGTCTATCAAATAGCCATAAAGCATTTTCAACTTGCATATATTTTCTGCCTTTTTTCATATCAATCTTTCGCAGTGGGCTTGAAATGATCCCAACAATGCTATAAGTAGGGTTCGGATTTTTCGGTTTAAACCGATAAAAACTGATAAAAGTATGGCAAATCCATTTTCGCAATTTCGGTTTTAACCTGAAAAGGTCAGTTTTTAAGTTCAGCATTTTCGATTAAAAGGGATAAAAACAGGTAAAAGTATGTCGAATCCATTTGATAAAATTCAGTTTTAACCTGTGAAGGTCACATTGACCTTCCAGTCGTACCGCAGAGCCGTGGCGAAAAAGTGGAACGACAGTGCCTATTCAAACGTGTCCGAATGTGTGGGATACACGGGTGCCATCACGACGTTTTGGTTTAATGTGCGTATCATCGATCGAAACGTGAAGTCCTAAATGCCCCATGACTTCGCCATGTACGAGCGTGTTTTCAAACTCGGAAGACTGACTTGATGCAAGCTCTGCATGTTGTGTTGTGCTTCAAAACGTTGCACCGTGTCTCTTTTGGCGGTCACAATTGGTTGATTGGCCGATTTTGGCTCAGGCAGTGCTTTATCTTCTCAGCCTGCCAGTGTCCAGTGTTAGCGTTGAGAGGGCATTCTCGAAGCTCAGTGTCATATTAACACGAAAGAAGAAGTGCGGATCAACGAGGAGAACCTGGAAAAGTTCATGTGTGTGTGTGTACTATAACAAGGTCACATAATCCTGATATACAGAAGGTGAAGTTCCATGATTTTGGGCATAAACGCTTCATATCTGTCTTGTTTGTACTTGAGTTTTTTTGTTTTTTTTTCTTGTTTCTTTTACAGTTGCACACATTTGCCAAATGAAGTGTTCATTTCTTTTTCAGAGTATTTGTCCCGTTATTCTTCGAGTAATCACAAATATCAGAGCTACAAGGATAATCCGATCCAGTGTCCGTTGGCGTTTCTTTTATATTCACTGAAAAAAGCCGATAAACTTTTGTGGGCATAAATATACACCGATAAAAACCGAAAATTAAATTTTAAAGTAAACACCGAAAAAAGTGTGCCGAATTTTGAAAAAATAGAAACCGAAAAATCCGAACGACAGCGCACAGATCTGGTTCTGTGCGGATTGAAAGCGCGTCCTCTGAAGCTGCTCGATAGGTAGAGCCAGCATGCTTTCTTGTCGTAAGCAGTCACAAGCGGTTGCAATGCAGTTCACCACACTCGAACACAAGCGGTGAACCAGCCTTACGAAATTGAACGTAGCGAACGATAGTATGTGGGAGGACGGTCCGCCCTTGAAATACAGCGACACCGGCTTGGCGTCCTCAGGGAGCACACCAGCCGAAGCAGTTTCTGCATACCTTGCATCTCTAACCTGCACCAGGCAGTAAAGAATGTCGATAGAGGCAGGGATCAAACCCAAGAATGACCTAAGGGGTCGTTCAATTGGAGCGTCGGAGTGGGGGTCGCAAAGGCACTCTGCTGCATTTCCACAAACGAGAAGCAGGCGTGCAATGTGGTCGAGTATTCAGCGTTACTGCGAATGTCGTCGTCGTCGACAGCCAAAGGAAGGCGAGAGTTGCGGGGATTCCTGTGGTCTCCCTTCCCCGATGGCTGTGATAACGGCCGCGGGCCGGAACGCTCGGCCGCCTTCGCCGTGAGCTCCAATCTTGGCTCTCCAGAACCTCGCGTCGGGCAGGTAAGGACCTTTTCTTGCCTTGCCGCAGCGCGGGGGGGGCATTTTGGTTAAGGGCATTATAGTTCACTTTGAGAGTGTTTTAATAAATGCTCTTGGACTCTGTCTTTACTCTGGTATGTGTGTCTTCTTTTCCGCTATATTCGAGAGAGTGAGACGGGGTAGTCACTCATTGGCACCGACGGAGGTAATTTATTGAACCGACCCGCGGTGATGTAGCCCTAAACGTCGTCTATATTGCCGCGGAGATGTGGGGACCGCGCTACTAGGTTTGACTTCTCCTTTGAGATCGCCGCCGTCGTTGAGATAACCCTTTGGTTACTCTATCGGTACTTGTGTTGGTAGCTAGCAAATCCCAGAGTACTGTGGGTGCAAATAGTAGCAAAAACGACCTCTCTTTTTTTCCCTCCCTCACAACGGCTGCATGCGGAAGGTTTCGTCCCGTCCGTGCTATGATCAAGACATACAAGCTAATCTACTAGTTAAGTTGCAAAATAATTGCAACATTCGTGATCCTGAAGGCTAAATAAACGTTAATCCAACATCAGCGCTCATGTACCGCATTTGGTGCATGTAATATTCCGTGTTTCGTATGGCTTATTTAGACAATGAATGGACAGCATAAATTGCTACGGGATGCACCTTAATTGGTTGTCTTAAAGAGGCGACAAAACCATTCTTGTACTTTGTGCAAATACCATTTAGAACGGATCCCTGACGTTAATAACCTGTAAAACACTTGTTTGTGTTTCACTACACGCAATGAAAGTCGCAGTAAAAATCGAATGTCCACACAATGCCTCGGTCCAATCTATGAGCCCCAATCGAATATCGTCACCGGGCGGTACTGCGACTGCCCAGCTACGTCATCAAGTTTTGCAAGGGAGAGATTGAATGAAAACGCTTGCTTTTGACCTTGAAATCACCATGCAATAAAGGAGTTTCTTGGGAAGTGGGCTTGTGTGCGAGTACCCTTCGGCCCCACTAGTGCCAGTAAGCTCATGTAAAGTGAAAAACATTCCAATTTAATATTGTTGCACCGCCCGTTGAAGTTTGTTGACAAATGCGGTAAAAGACAGCCGTACAATGGTGACATTACAGTGCCTTTCATAGAACATGGCATCAGACGGGATTGCAACGTGAACACACAGTTGCCCAGGCATATTCAATAATGTTCCCAGATCATGGCATTCATAAATGGGCAAGTAGTGGAAAACAGAGCAAGTGGCAATGATTGCATGAGCATGATAGAAAAAATAAAATTTTGTTCAACATCAACGTGTATGCATGAGCCTGCACAGTTTATGACTCAAGTGCCTGACACACCTCCTAATCCAAGGCCGGTATGTGCCAAATGAGTGCGAGAGTAATAACAGTCACACACTAACAACAGTGGCGCACAGCATATGCTTTAAGCACTGACAACCCAGATACATCGCTGCGACGAATGAAGCCGACATTATTTGGGCACTAGAACTCAAGACTGCGTGATCTGGCAATGAGCAGAGAAGATAAATACGAGGGGTGATCAGAAAGTTTTGCAACTCGCATATCACAAAAACTACCAGGGCTTTGAAAAAAAATTTATTTTTCGACATAATCCCCCTTACACTCATGCACTTTTCCAATTCACTTTAAAAGCTTTTGATACCTAGTGAAAAAAAATACAACTTTCTTCCTGCTCGTCAAGCCACTCCTCTGTGGCAGTTCGCAGTGCACCCAAGTCATCAAACCTTGCTCCGTCTAGTTTTTTTTTTTTTTTTTCAGATTTGGGAATGAATAAGTCACTAGGGACCAGATCAGAACTGTAGGGTGGGTGGTCGAGCTCTTCAAAAGCACTCTCTCGAAAGCACACAGGGGCGTTGTCATGCAGGAGGAGGACGCCTCTTGTCACCAATCCTCTTCGTTTTGCCACAATGGCCTCACGGAGTTTGCGGAGAACGTCGGCATAGTATTCACCTGTTATTATCCGGCAGTTTTCCAGATAATCATTAAGTAGGATCCCCTTTGCGTCCCAAGAAGCTGTCGCCGTCACTTTCTTCCCCGAGCATTGTGTCTTGAATTTTTTCGTAGGGGGGGACCTCGATTGGTCTCCACTGCATAGAGTCTTGTTTTGTTTCAGGCTCCCACTGGTAAAGCCAAATCTCATCCCCAGTCACAAGGCGGAAAAGAAAATCTTGGTCGCTTTCATAGATGCTCAAAAGCTCCCTTGACAAATGCAAGCGGTGCTCTCGATCCTGCGTAGAGAGGTTCCGTGGCATCCATCGTGCCAAGACCTTCGACATACCCAAAATGTCATAGATGATTGTGAAAGCACTGCCATATGAAATGTTCAATTCTGTAGCAACTTTGGACACCTTAACTTGGCGATTCTTCATGATGAGGCTCTCAGCTCGGGCTGAATGATCAAAATTGGTCAAGGTGCTGGGCCGTCCTGACTTTGGGTCGTCCCGTACGTCCACACGACCGCGTTTGAACTTGTTGAACCAACGAGTTACTGAGTCACCGCCAAACACATTCACCATTCTATTGTGAATTTCCTAGGCGGAACTCCCTTCTTTGCTCAAAACCTTGATTACGCTCTGGTACTCAAGCTTGAAATTGGGGGAGGTCACCATGTTTAACTAACTGATGAAGACCAAAAGTGGAACAAGAAGTCTTGATATTACAAACATGTTTCTGTAGAGAAATGAGCCAACCAACGGTTATAGAGACATCACTGTCAGACTTTTGGTTATAGCCGAGTTGTGTGGGGCTTACCTAGGATTCAGTGTTTTCATAGTTTATTTTTCGTTAAATTCAGAGGGTGCTTTTCGGAGTTTATTATTTTTTCAAAAAAATTTTGAGTTTATTTTTGCTAGATTTCCAACTCTCCAAAAATTCTGAATTTAATTTTGCA